CAGTAGCATGCTGTGATTATCTAAGCAACAGGAATGAGAGCGTAATCATCTCTGCCTATGGCATGTTTCCCACCTGGGACAATGGAATGCTACTACATCGCCATGGCAACCGGTACTACCACACAAGCACTTGACTCCTTAGAAGGGACTGAATTGAGAGGAAATCTCAAAAGGTCGCGACCGCACAAAAGGCTTGACTTCCCAGAGCTTCCCACTGTTCGAACGTGATTATAAAATTACTTAGACAAAAAAAAAAATTGGCTGTGAATTGAAAGTGCTGTCAGTCATTCACACGCCCTGATGGTGGTTTGTAAAAAAGGTTTGTGTGATCTGGTTGGGAAGATGCTGTTCAGCAATAATGGGCAGGCCCACCTACAAAGAATGTCTGACTTCAGACTTTCTGGCATGATTTAGTATGCCGTACATTTCTAAAACGTGCTATGATGAATTTGAATCTATTTTAGCAAAAGGCAATATAAAATGTCTTTTCAAAACATGGTAAAGGAATTTATCTGCTCCAAATAAACACTTCCCTTAGCTCTACTAATCATTTAAAAGCTTAGAAAAATATATAAATTAATTTTTCTGCTAAATTTTTCCTTTTCCTGGTTTCAATAAAACACTTTGTGAAAAAATATCAAGAAAAATGTATCTGCTCCCAACAAACACTTTCTTGCTCTACTATTCATTCTAAAACTTGAAAGAAAGAAAGAAAGAAAGAATTTATTTCATTTTTACTTACCCTCTTAATATTTTCACTGGCCCTGCCTCAAAAAAATAGTTGCTGTTATCATTCAGTTTTTGCGGTTTTATTATTATTTTTTGACCCATGTTATCTTTTTTTCTAATAAATTACATCAGGACCAAAATTTTAGGTACCAATTCAATTTTACAATTAATAATTCTAATTTTCATAACACAGCAAAAATGACAAGCATAACAAATATAAAGTCAATCATTAAAGTTAAGTGAACAGTCAGTAAATAAGAACAAATGAACAAATCACAAGCAATTGACTAAATGCAAGGTTACTTCCTGGTTTTATATAAGCCAGCTCAGTCATTTCCGGTCAACTTTCAAAATCAGCTGTGCACTTTGCTTGGTTTCTCTACATAATCCATTCACAAATTGAAGAAAGCTTTTATTTGTCTAAGAGGACCAAACGTCCATGTATACAGTTTCAGGAATGACAAAAGCGAGTGAATCCAAAATAAAACATCTGATGAGTCGATGGCAAAAAACAGAGCTGTGCATTAAGTGAGTCAGACTAAATTCAGAGTAACAAAACTACAACAGCAACAAGTCTGTTGGCTGAATGTATTTAGCAGCTTCTACTGTTAAATATAAAACTTACAAATTTAGTTTTTAAATTAAATCTAAAAATATATAAAAATATTCAATGCATTATTGTTTAATTGTTATATCATTAATAATTAACTAATTTCATTTGTAGTTAACTATTTAAGTATTTAAATCAAGGGTCTTCAACCGGGGGTCCCCAACTCCTAGGGGGTCCATGCAGCGATACTACAGGGGGTCCGTGAATTAATATTTGATCACAAATAATTTTTTGTTAAAAAAGTAAAAACATGGGTAAAAATCATCATAAAGTAAAATATAAATATAAGCACCCTGAAACGAAAGCAAGGACACCCTCAGATAATAATGTAATATAATATTATTCTTGGAACAGATTTAGCAAATGCTCCATTGTTTTTGAGACTCTGAAACGTGAAATGGTCCTTTTTACAGCGTGTTTTTGCAGTGTTTTTTGCAGAAACTTAGCCAATCACACACGTTTGTTGATCTACAATGCAATGGCCAATCAGAAGTGTTAGAATAATCACCGCTCAAAACGCTGCAGTTTTTGTTCAAAAGTGCTGCCTGCTCACTCTAATCCAGTGTTGCCAAGTCCACGATTTTCCTGTGGAATTGGGCCACTTTAACACTGTTGCCATGGGTTGTTTTCCATGTCCATGACCAGGGGAACCCTACCAAAAAAAATTATTTTACATGTATTTTACCCCCCGGAATGCGATTGGGCTAGTTCTGGGATAGTTTTGTGTAGCGATTGGGCAGGTTTTGTTGTGAAAACCTGGCAACCCTGCTCTAATCCTCTCACATTAAAGACACAACATAAGTAAGAGATTCATTATGCAGTGAAGACAACTTTATTGATTTTAATGGAACGTTGTGAGATCATGAACTAAGATGAGTGACAGCTTTTTAGTGATTGTAAAGTGAGCGGTCTTTCGCACTTATGAGGCTATACAGCTATAAACCACTGTATAAATATATTGTTTTTCATGCTGACAAGAGAAACGACGGCCAATTACACGCTACAAAGTTTTGGAAATGACAACTGTAGATAAATGCGTGATTCACTATCTAAACTCCAATCGACGGTAATACTAGCATGGGACAAAGATATGGCTAGTCAAGATGCACACAATATAAATGCAGACTAATAGATTACTGAAATAAATCACATCAATATCTATATTTTTTAAATCCATTCCAATTATTTCTAAAAGTAATGACTATAATGGTGGAGCCGTTGCTTATATATTTGGCTCCATCTGCACTTTACTAGAGAACTCTCAATTTTAGAGACTTAATAATTTGATTAAAAAGTAATATGGGAAGTTTTACTAAACTTGAAGATAAAGTTCAAATAAATATTTATTTGTCCATTGACAGTAAAATTAAAATGTGAATTTTTTATAAATTTGTATCTCAAGTTCAGGTAAATCCAGTGGTGTAATGTAACGAAATAATAATACTTCGTTACTGTATTTAAGTATTTTTTGGGAGTCTCTGTACTTTACTGAGTTTTTATATTTCAGCCAACTTTTACTTTTACTCCACTACATTTCCTAATTAAAATGTATACTTTTACTCCGATTCATTTCCCCGAAGCATATTTGTTACTTAGGCTACTACAAAATAGTCAAAAAAGAAGTCAGAAGAACACGGACTGCAGGAAATCAGTGGTCTGGCGTCTGCAAGTTAAACTCCTAAAAACACCTTTGCTCATGTGCAAACGAGTGCGCGCACAACCGTGGATGGTTCATTATTCACTCAAGTCGAGTCTGGGGTGTGCTGTGCGATACAGCATCGTCTGCGATAATATGGTAAGTGTTGGTGTAATGATGTGCGATCTGACATTATCAAGTAGGCTATTTCACCAGATCACACACAGAGTGCACGTACACTGATTTATTTGTCTATTAAGACTCAAAATTCAAGGCATTCTAAATTGTAGACTGCAAAAATGCTTCTGTATGCTTTTTATATTTTTATAATTTAATATAGTTAACAATCTATATCACACAAAGAGTACCGTTTTTCTGCAGATATCAGCATGAACACATTTAATGATAATTTTATACAAGTTCAGTAAAGCAATAGGTGACTTACATTTTAGACATAATATTCTTGTTTTTGCTCAATTTTGCCAACGAAAATAGTTCCAAACAAAGATCACTGCACTGTTTTGCATCTCTGAGCAATGGACGGTGTTTAATAAGAAAACAGGAAGGGGGCCAACACTTTTTCACACCACTGTATATATATATATATATATATATTTGCTTCTTTTCCATTTTGCATTTACTTGTACTTTTACTTTCAATACTTAAGTATATAAAATAAATAAAATATACTTTTCGTACTTAAGTACAATAAATATCACATACTTTAAGACTTTTACTCAAGTAATATTCTAAACGGTGACTTCAACTTCAACCAAAGTCATTTTGTAAGATATCTGTACTTTTACTTGAGTATAGCTTTCAGGTACTTTATACACCACTGGGTAAATGCTTAATTGTCCATCTGATTAGCAAAAATTAAAATGTATGACTCTGCAAATACATTAAAATAATTTTAATAAAAACAACTGCAAACAACAAATGACTTTAACAATCAAAAGTAATATACAGACAGTGATGCATGTGCAACAACATTTATAACAACATATTATAAGTGTTTTAAAAATGTGTTCATGACTATGAAGGTAAGTTACCTGTATTTATTATCAAGAGTACATTTATGATGTCGTTTACGAGATAGCATCAGTAACTAGCTAACGTTAGCAACAGTTACGATTGTGTTTCGTTGTCAGCATTTCAATGTACAATTACTTGTTAAAATTATATGCCGTTAAATAATATCCTTATTTACAGTGTTGAAATTATTTTGTTTCTCAATTTCTATATATA